TCAACGATATGCCCCAATGGGATACGACTCGCCCTACTGACATTCTTTAGAGTTCTACGAAGTATGACATAGTCTTTTTTAAGCAATCCAGGAAAGAATAAGGGTGAACAGTAAAGAAGAGTAGGTAAGATGCACGAGTCGACAAACTGTAAGCGGAGGAGGGGTTGAGTTATGCCTCAGTGCCTAAACTTCTTAATGTAAAAAGTCAGACGAAATATTCTTTTAGAAATCGCTAAGACATGAGAAGACCAGGATAGGTCAGAAGAAAGAATTAATCCAAGATACTTAACGTCAGACTTGATTTCTATATCACTATCATCAATGTTGCAACGGTCATAGGAATTAACAGCTTCATTTAACTTTCTTTTACATCGGAAATTGAAATTACATTTAGAAGCATTTAGTTTAAGACCATTAGACGAAGACCATTTGCTGACTCCGGATAGAAAGTTGTTCATCTTAGTACAGTCTAGCTGGGAGTTAACAGGCATTGAAACAATTAGATCGTCTGCACACTTAAAAAAGTTCATTTCATCAGAGTGAGGCAAGTCATGCAAGAAGAAAGAACAGCGCATTGAGGGTAACTAGTCTTATGTGTCTGATCCTTTGTTTGGTGCAGATTGAATTCTATCAGTCAAGTTTGCAATGTGGCCACCATTCTAGGTGGCCTACCATCATGGTGCATTCTGAATTGTTGTTATTAGATGGTTGAAGGCAATCAGCAGGTTGCAGATACACCTTGTTGACAAGCGCCAATAAGCACCAAAACTTAGAACCCAGGTTTCCTGTCTATTGCCTCCAACCATCTAATCACAGAAAGAAGAGCAGATCATTCTTTACTGAGTAATAATTTCCTCCTTTATTCATATATTTATGAATTTCATTGAACTTCCTCTAGATAGTAACACTTGGAACCTGGTAATGAAAACCATTAGTAATATGGCTTTTTCTTCAAGAAGCTCAATAATTCACCTAATTGACCTACACCGTTTCCATTGATTCCCTTCTGAAATTGTTTGATAACTGATGAAACAGCTATCTGCTGTCTGTCTAATGAACTTTTTTCACTTGATATAAGGGTCATTAAATTCATAAAATAAATTAAGGGCTTTATATCTACATAAATCCATCTGACATGTGTTCATTAAAAGCATTCCTCTCTGGGTGCATAATTTATCTTTCAGTACTAATGCAAAATCACATCATGAATACATACATATAACTCGTTAGTAGAAAAAAACACAACAACAGCTGTCTATTCTTATCCTGAAATTGTATCTCCTGTATAGGTAACAAATTTTTAGTGTTAGTGTTTATAAAATAACTTTTGTTGCCATTTCAGGTGCTTAGCTTTTATCATAGTACAAAACAGACCTAGAAACTAGAGGATAGACAATAGATAGCACTTGTTTTCAATGTACTGACTAAGTGATAACAGGTTTATTGTGAGATCTAACATTCTTTGCCTTTTTCCTTTCGTCTAGGGGAGGAGATTTCTTTGTATTTACCCTTGACACTTCCTAGACGAAAACCATAAAATTGTCTAATGTCTTTTCTTTGTTTTTCAATGACTTTTTGGGTAACGTCAGTGTTTAAGGATAACTGTGATTCAGAGTTTTGGAAATGATAAACTTAAAAAGTCTTATGCTCTGTATAACACTCTGAAAACAGATATAATGGAGAATATTTTTAGCTCAGGTGGATGATTTGGGTGTATGTAGTTGTGTCAGTTGAAACTAAGCCCTCCAAAACAAAAGAAAACACAGCTGCACCAAAATCACCCATTTGATTGGTTGGAGGATTTCATCATGAGTTGACATCAGCTAGAGGACCATTGGAAAACCTACCTGGGAGTACTGAACAGCTTTCTCGTCAGCCTAGTTTGGGACTCTTCAGTAGTACGAACCCACACCGCAGGGTTCGAGCCCAGGACCTTCTGGTTACTAGGCTAGCGAGCTCGTAGACCATTAAGCCACTCACTGTGACCCGATTTAATGGCCAACCCATGAATTCCAACTTCTGCCAATTCATCCATTTGAGTTACAAATCTCCACTATATCTAAATCTTATCAGCGGAATAGACTCCTCTCTGTTCGAAAATGGAATGATTTCACCAAAAGGTTAGGATCCACCGGAAGCATCTAAACCATACAGTTCGGAGAACACAACAACAGTAAAACTCTGAAGACACCTTAATTACGTGTGCATCTCTGAGGTACTTGTTTTCAAGAATTATGTGTAAAACCACTTTTTTTCCCCAGTGTTTTAAATCTTAATAATAATAAGTAACTGGTAAACTGACTTGAATCTCTGAGAAACAATTGATTCCTGTACAGCTGCAATCAACTTACAAGACACTTGTCTCAATAAAAAAAGATTATGCATCAACCTAATTCTGTTACGTAAAGTTATTAAATAGTTTTTTCTTAGAATAGACATTCTAATGTTTACTTTAGTCTGATTTGTACTAACAAGTTAAATTAATGTGACACCTGTTGTCGTTAAATCGACAGCGAATAAATTAACAGATGGTCAATATTGACTGAGTACTAAATAAAACACTATCATTAATTGTTCATATAAAAATCTTCTTCCCCGCGTATAAACTATTGAAAAATGTACTTTTTCTGACTGAAATCTAATGACTACTAACCAGTATAGCTGAAGAAGATTTCTTAATTAAATTTGGCAAGCATTTACAATCTTCAAGAAGCTAGAATTGTTAGTGTTGCAAAGTTCATTGGCCTTGACAATGCTATATTGCACATTGATATAAGTTAAGAAGGATTTGCCAGTAAGGGTTTAACATGATAATGCGTGTTTACCTAAAGATTTCGTGCTTCTCTACTCTGTCGGAAATGCAAAATACTATAATAAGTGTAACTTCATATTAACTTGTACACTGGATATAGCACACAGTGGTGAGATCGAATTATTTAGTAGATGATGTTTCGAACACAATACGGAATTATATACTATCAGAATGCCCAAGTTTTGCATACATAGTAACTAAAACAAGCGAAACTCTTGAATGCAATCAAGCTACTGAAGTCCGGAAAGGCAGCAGAGCCAAATGGAATTCCCTCCGAAGCACTGAAAGCGGACCCAGATACTGCGGCAGATGTGCTCATGCCATTATTGCAAAAGGTTTAGGAGGAAGAAAAGGTATTTACCGATTGGAAGAAAGACTGGCTACCTTGTCAAGCTGCCAAAGAAGGGCGACTTACGCCTCACTCTGCAAGAACTGACTGTCGTGGAATAATGCTTTTGTCCACGCCAAGTAAAATACTAAGTCGCATCATCCTGGAGAAAATAAAGGATGCATTGGGTGCAGAACTCCATTACCCACCAGAACAAGCTGGATTCAGGAAAAAAATTGTGTACTGCACAAATTGCAACTCTAGTCATCGATTAAGGCACAGGATAACAGTCTAATCTGTACTTGAACTTTGTCGACTTCGAGAAGGCCTTCGACAGCTTTGTCCAAGAAGTAATTTGGAAACTACTTCAACACTACGGCGTGCAGTGCCTAAATCTTTATCAACTTCATTCAACAGCTGGCTATATGACAATGCCACGTGTCAAGTGATTCACAACGGAAAACTCAGCGAAGCGTTCGAAGTGCATACAGGAGTAAGACAAGGCTACCCACTATTATCATCAATGTTATTCTTAATTGTGGTGAACTGGATTATGCATCGGACTGTGCACAGGGAGTAAGAAGACTGGCCGATAAGCATATTCTAGAGAAACAGGATTTCGCGGATGATTTATATCTAATATCACCCAAACGCGAAAACTTGCAGGTGAAAACCAACAAACTGGCTGAAGAAGCAGCCGGAGAAGACAGGACTCCAGGTAAACATAGAGAAGAAAGAGGTGACGAAAATAACCAGCCAACAACGACAAACAGCACCAATCACCATCAACGGGAGAGATTTAATAGAGGTTACTTCCTTCAATTATCTAGGAAGCATGGTTTCAACCACAGGCGGGGTGGATGAAGATGTAAAAGTCAGAATCGGAAAGGCAAGATACACCTTCATCAACCTGAAACCAGTTTGGAAATCTTCTGCACTCAGCATAAGGAACAAGATTCGGATTTTCAAAACAAATGTAAAGTCGATCAATTCTTTATGGGTCGGAAAATTGTCGTGACAGGAAAAGAATTTCCAACAAACTACTTCAGACTTTTATCAACAGCTGCCTTCACTGGCTCCTTACTGAAGATCAAATGACCAGCCGGCCAGAAAGAATTAGTAACAAGAAACTCTGGCAACCATCCAACCAAGAGCCGACTGCTCAACAAATGTGTAGGAGAAAATGAAGATGGGTTGGGTACACATCGAGGAGACCATCGAATGACGTGGCGCTCCAGGCCATTGCTCCAGTGGAATACGAATGGGAAACGACGAGTTGGGTGACATGAAGGAGATCGTGTGAGGAGGCGATGAGGGACTATGGGCAGTCGTGGACCCAGATGAAGAGGAAAGCAGAAAATAGAACAAAGTGGAAATGTGTTGCTGAAGCCTCATGTTCCACTCGGAACCCAAAGGAATAATAATAATAAGTGGCTGTCATGTAGGATACAGTTGTTGCCAGTGTTCGTGTCACTGAAGTAGATGAGTAGTGGACAGGCAAAACCAACTTGAGAACTTTCAAGTCGCCAAAAATGAGAGAAGATAAAGAAACAAACTGCCAAGAAAATTAACTATCACAAGCAACAAAATGATCAGTTTAATGGGATTTCTTAGGGGAAGAAAGAGTAGTCAAAAATAAATAAAATCCAATTACACTGATGTCTTTCATTTTTGAGTATCATACAATATTTGTATAAACACTGTTTTCTGTCATATTCTGTGTTATGCGACAATTATCTTCTTTCTCAAAGTCCTAAGATTATTTATTATTATCCCCGGAACATTTATTAAACAGTTCATTCTTTTTTCAACTGGACAATTATTGAAATGAAAATTTTATAACGTATACTGTACACTTACAGTCTTGGAATCTTGGCTGAAGCTTCCAGATGAAATGTTAAATTACCAGAAAAACCAGAAATGAAAGACCCAGGTAGACTGTCAGGATTTGATTCCAGTTTCACTTGAACACCATCAATGAACCAAGTGAGTAAAGCTCCTGGTTTACCATGACGAGCGATACATTCAAGAACCATTATACTTCCATCGTCGACAACTGCAGGTCGTGATGGTCCAATTTCTATCCTCTGACCTTTTCCTTCATTTGTTATTTGAATGAGTTGTGGAGCTTCGGAGGGAACTGTGAAGAGAAAGAGAATCAGAAAAATATGAAATAATATTGATATGGCAAACTGAACACGTGTATTAAATTGTTAAGAGATTACCAATTTGAAAGGCTTGAATATCTTTTATGAATTGGATATACTTAAAGATGATGTGAAAATGAATTTAAATGAGTTCAAAAACCGCAGATTGGTGAATAATGACTCTAATAAATGAAGCCATACTAACAGCAGTACAAAGCGAAAAACTTTTAACAGGATCTCCCATTGGATTAGGGATGGACATTGTTGAAGAATATTTCAACAGAACATGAATCAATCTTCTGCATTCATCAGTTCCTTCTGATTTTCTTGTTGGTATGCGTAAAACAGCCTCTAGAACAATGTATTTAAGAAAGCAATTTATCTGGACATGTTAAATTAAAGAAGTGAAGTGTTGTTCAACCACCATTTGCAATTCTATGGAGATGGCGTTGAGTCACACCCACTGTTCAAGATCAAGTGGTACTACCTGGTTGTCCAGATCACGGTAGGCGAAGAGGAGTTCGGATCTTAACCACCTAAACCAATGAGCCACAGTTCCTCATATGAGCCTCTTATTGCAATGTCAGTTGCTAGTGCTTTCAGTGATGGATATATTACTTTGCAGAAGTTTGAAAGGTACTCGAACTAAAAGTATTTTTTGATTAGCTTTGGAATATTTGTAACCTAAATACAAAAGGTTTTATAATGGAAACTAATAGAAATATTGACTTCTTATAGATGAACTTCAAATTAGTACTTTGTTGACTGAGTGATTACGTATTTGTAGCTATTTCTGTGCAGCTTATGATGTATAGAATATAAATTCCAAGCAAACTAATATGAAAGATTCAAAATGACGTGAATTATTCTCATTTCAATATACTGATCTTAAAACAGAGATCCTCACCAAAGTAATCTTATGTGCACGAAGGTCAATGTTACTTGTGCATTGAATACTGCTGAGAAACTTAAGTAGATAGCAACTATTTCCAACAAGTAGTGTCAATTCCCAGTCAAATCTTAGATGTCTACAATCGAACAACTTATTTTTTGAATCCAGCTGCTATATGGTGCCTTTAAAATGATGATTAAGAGTTGTTATCATTTTTGCCTGCTCAACGATTCTCTCAGATTTGTATTTTGACTGGTAAGTGACCAGAAGATTTCAGACAATTGAATAGAAGGTTCTTTTGGTTCGGAACCATATGTGATTGTGGTGGTTAGGCAGTGACATCAAGCCCCAGATAGACTTCTGTATTCTTCAACAAGCCTAAAGGTATCAGTACATCTAAGTTATCTGTAAATCTTGAAATGCTTTTGCTTACACAAACCGCAGAAGGAGGCATATTGATTAGTATCTGATTAGACAACCGTGTGACAGATAAATATTAGGCGGCATAAATATATTTCAGTGTTCAGAGTACAGCAAATACACAAATTAAAGTCCAAACGTAATCAACCGTTTGATTTGTACATTTATCAACTCGGCTGATTTAAGCCTAGTTCCTAACATGTCTGCGATGAAGACTGTTAACGTGAAATCGAAGGAAGGGTGACGCGATCATCATATTGGTAAACCAACCACCTCTTGGCAATATGTGTATATCATTACAAAAATTCAGCTGTTTTATTCATGGGGATAAAGCCATTTTAAGTCAGAAAATAGTTGATAAGAGACAGACACTAAATATGTTTAGGCGCAATATTTGCTCTCTGTCGCATCGCTTATGCTTCTTTTTTCTGCTTCACTTTGATTTGCGATTCTTTTTTCCATATTTAAGTTAGACTGTTTGTTATTTTTGCTGACTGATTTTTTTTCTCTCTTTTTTCAAAGTTTTGAAACGGATTTGAAAGAAACAGTGAACTTTTTTTCCTAAATCTGTTCGACTGATATGAGTTTATAACTCGGTTTGATAACAGTTCTCGTTTTTTTCTACAAAATAAACACTTTACTACTCAAAGTAGCTAATAATCGATGTACTACTTTGATGATAAAAGACATCATTGTTTTAGTATAAAACGATATGCTACTGATTGACTGAAATGAGTAGTTGGATCACACAGATCACATACAGATCAGTCATGTTTGCTAGCCAATTCGTAGCGATCTAAACACCGAAAAGTCGTTTTATTCGTTGAGAAGCGAGCTTACCAGCAGAGTATCCAGTCTAATTCAGATCAGAGAGCCGAATGAGTTGAAAGCAGCCGGTTTCTGCCTGGCTAATCCGTGTAAGTCGTTAGCAGATTCTTTTCAGTTGATATTTGTTACTGTTTAGTGCATTTAGAAGAAAGTTTCCTGGAGATAACTTCTGCATCAAGATTGTACCATTCGGTGTCTTTCTGTAATATCAGAGCAACAAACCCAATCAGATTAGAAGAAAGCCTCATCATATTTCAGATACAATGTACATAACTGTAGAGATTTGACTGTATATGATAGTGTCACACAAAAAATTGGAAGCTTTCTGGTGTTTATTAAGGATTCTGTGTGTTTAACTGTTCAGGGATAATCAAGTTGTTTTCATAATAAAAGTTTGGAAACCTATTCACTTATGCTCAGAAACTGTTTTCAGTGGTAAAAGTTGCCTAATTATTACGTCATCAAAATGTCATTGGCAGAAGACCAGTAGTTCAGAGAAGAGTCTCTTTCCGGCGAATTCATTTTCATATATAGTTGTTTAGTATGTGTGTGTACATTAAATTTGCCAAACGAAAATACAATTTGTAAGTTCAGATTAATTGGATGTTGATATAAGTGGGTAGTAACAAAAGTGATGAGTTGTCACAAACGATTGTTAAAGAAGAGTTACGTAGTAACATGAATATTTTGATGAAAGAATTGTACTCACGGTGTACATGGAAGCAAAATAAAATGCGGAATTACGCAAGAGTTTCAAGTAGTTAGAAAAGACAAGCAAACGAGCAAAAGTTAAGTCAAATCAACTGAGTTGTTACCATGATTGTAGAAGTGGTCAAATAGTTTTTCTTTTGTATGCATAGTTCTGGTTCTTCCAAATGAATGTCTAGGGCTTCCGCAATGCAAAGAAGATGAAAACGTATTATCTTTGACAGGTTGTATTTCACTTTGTAGATTACTCTGGAGGAGGAATTTGTTAAGATGGAATGACTAGTGATGACGAGATGTTCGATTACTTATACGGCCAATACTTCCTTTCTGCAGCCACTTTGGATAGTGTTCTTTGACCCTTTTCGACAGGATGCGAGTCGAAAGACAGATGTACCTGGCGCCACAGCAACAGGTGAACTGATATGTACACCTAGAAGTGATCAGGTGCGAGATCTTGTCCTTTGGGCTTCTACAGATCAGCGGGCGACTGCAGAACACTAATCTCCTCCTAAGGACATCACTGAGTAGGTCATCTTTGAGGTCGAGGTTCATATAAAGTATCTTTTTAGCACGGATGTCATCTCTTGCTTTTGGATTCTTTTTGATGTTTTTGTCTATGAATCTTGGTGGAAATCCGTTTTTTATGAAGATTTCTTTCAGAAAGTGTAGTTCTTTTTCCAGGATATCAGAGCTGCAGATGCGTCAGACGTGAGTAACAAAAGATCTTACTAGGTTTCGTTTTCTAATGATTGGTACCCAGCTGTAGAAGCTTGTAAGTAGGCCGTTCCATGTTGGCTTCCTATGGATAAACCTTCTTAAAGTTCCGTCAGCTCTCCTTGTAAGTTCAACATCAACAAAAGGAATTTTAGATCCGTTTTCAATTTCAAGAGTGAACTTTGTAGCTGAATGGCAGTTGTTGAATATTTGTAGTAACTGATTAAGATCGTAACCACCGTGTTACTACCCTCTTCGATCAACATCCAATTCCTCTGAACGCCTTTTGTATAACTTACTAATTGTATCTTCGTTTGACAAAGTTAATCTACACACGTATACAAAACAACCGTATATATTTGTGATTGTACAGCTGTGAAAATGAATTCATCGAAAAGAGACTCTTCTTCGAACTACTGGTCTTCTGTCTGTTAATTTTCGAATGGGGATTTTTCACGAATTAAAAAGTTTTTGAACAAATCTCTGCGAAAAGAGCAATCATACTACTATCTCTAATCAGGTTTATACTCAAGCCTTTTAAACTATAAATACACAAAATCACGCGTTTTATGCCTCATTCTGAATTCAGAATTCAAAGCTCATGAAGTACCTTGTAGAGAGTTATTAAGCTTTTTACGAAACGTGACAGATGCATGTTTTTAGATAAGTTTTACCTCTTCTATAGATTATCATGATGGATAACATATTTGACGCCGTAAATTATATCACGAATCCAATCAAGAACTTCAGGTGATACCTATAACTAAATGGTGTAGGTGATTCTCAACTACTCATATAAGTTAGTAGTATATGTAGAACATTGCAGAGCATTTATCAGTAATTCATCATAAATTGCATAATTTGCAAACTGAAATTAAATCAGTTCGATATTATTAGTAATAGTATGTAGCTTAATCAATTTGTTGTTAGCGAACAGTTAACAATCATACTACACTGTGATTTAATGAGCGTCAACTTATTAAATTAAGGTTAATAAATTGCATATTTACAGCATAGTTTATTTAGACTGGATCGATTAAATTGATTTTTCTGTTCAAACTAAACTTTCTGTTATATATTTATTTACATTTTATTCAATTTGTATTATAACAATTGTAACAAAACGTATAGATTTAGATTACACGTTATGGATATTAAGCCTTAGAAGTTAATATTATTGTCTACTTTAGTTCTTAGAGGAATATAGGGCTTCAGCTGCACGTCTCCACTGTGTTCGGTTCTCTGCCAACGTTTCCACCTGGCTGCATATCTGCCCACATACTTTAATCTCCTCTCCGCATAACCTCCTCTTTCATGTCAACCTCGGACGACCAACTCGGGTTGCGCTCAAGCAATGGCCTGGCGTATGACATCACATGATGGTTTGCTCAGAGTATGGCCAATCCGCCTCCATTTCTTCCTGCAGATTTG